ATACAGTTCTAACGGTAGAACTCAGGGCTTTGTGTACACTAGGCAACCACTCTATGATGGTGCCACACCCCCAGTCCTCTCTACTGCTACTATTATTCATAACTGCCTGAAAACATTGCTTACCCTCACTAATGAAACAGCCACCATATACCTGTTTTTTCTCAAATCACTTCCTCCCAATTGTGTTTTGCATGCCTGCTTTTCAACTCTGTATTCCAAGCAGTATTATGATTTTTAAGTTTAATGACTTTGGTATCTCCTGTTCTAGCTTAAGGACATCTTCTATACACTTTAATCAATGCCATAGCTTCAAAGACTATCCATCCCTTCAAATAACATCTCCTGAATTCTTACCACATGCAGGCATATAATATAAACAGTAAAATGTCAAATGTTTGCTTTAGGGTTTTCCAATTAGGGGGGAAAACGGCTTATTTAAAAAGATTCAAGATCGGGCTGGAGAGATGGCTCAGCCATTAAAGGCTAGGCTCACAACCAAAAAGATTCAAGATCATCACATTTAGGCTAGGGACATGGCTCATTTGGTAGAGTGCTTGACTAAAATGCATGAAACCCTAGTATCATGATGCTTGCTACATTTGATTCCAGCATTTGGGATTTAGAAAGAGGGATCAGAAGTTTAAGGTCATCTTTGACTTCATAGCCACTTTCAGCCTCTTTGAAATGTTCACCTTAAAGAAATGATCAATGATTCAAGAGATAAACATGTTCAAAATGACCTAAACATTACACAATGTACACATGTATACATTTATTATAACATCACATAGACAAAATTTTAGTGTTTTTTTTTCTATCAATTGATTTAAAAACAAACCCGAACACAAAACAATTATTCCAATGCTTTAAGATCTTACAGTGAATGTACACCATTTCTATAATCAAGGATAACAAATTTTTAAAAAAAGAAAAACAGCTTCAACTTCATTAAGGATCATGAAAATACCATTAAAATAACAAATATAAAATAAAATTTCTGAGATTAAGCAGGTCAAAAGCAAAGGGTTTCTTAACATTCACAAATCACAAATTATAAAAACTATTCAGGAGGCAAGTGATTTGTGGCCACAAACCAAACCGTTTATTTAATCCAGTAAGGCACAACCATTCTGCATGCAAACACTGCCTCTACCCATCCCTCTCAATTGCCCATTCTACCAATAAACACTGCTTCTTTCAATAACTGAATGAGCAATTAGCTCCCTTGCTTAGAGAATGACAAGCTTCTAGTGTACCTGAGCATACCTAACAAATTGGCAGGTCTGTCCTCCCTAAACACCCATTTGAAATACTATCTTAGGAACCAAATGGTTTATAATTTCTTAAGAATTCTTCTTCTCCTCCCACCCCCTTGTTTGTTTTGCTTTTTTTCAAACCAGGGTTTCTCTGTGTAGTCCTGGCTGTCCTGGAACTCACTATGTAGACCAAGCTGGCCTCGAATCACATAGATCATCACTGCCTGGTCATACTGGTTTTTTTTTTTTTTTTTTTTAAGCAAAATTTGAATCCAAACTTAAACTTTTATAAAGTTTAAAAAGTTTTATAAAGTTAAAAGTTCGGATAACAAAGTAAATAAATAAATAAAATTCTGATAACAAACACAACTGTGTCATTTGCTAATTAATCAACTGTTAAATCCACAGAAACTAACTAAATCCACAGAAACTAACCCCTGGTGATTAAGATCACTAAACAACGTTATTTTGAAAATTCTCTGCAAACCCTCCATAAATCCTTTAAGAATCCTGTCAATCTTTGGGAATTCCCAGCACCTGGGAGGTGGATGCAAGAGGATAAGAAGTTCAAGGCCAGTCTGAGCTAAAAAGGTCACAGACTCAAAACAAGCAAAACAAACAAAAGAACCACAAAACACAGAGACTGGTTTTAAGAAAATCTTGCAGAGACATAAAGACACCCTGAAGGTTCTTTCCAATTCTAATTTGGCCAGATTGTTCTCAGGCTACAAATAACCCTTTACACTTTCAATAAAGGCCAACAATCCTCCCACTTCTTTAATGGCAGAGAAGAAATGTACTGCATTATTGTTCAACTGCTATGGCTTGTGAAAACGCTCGTCCACAGACATCACTGAACACTAGTAACCTCTGTTTCGCAATACTTCCTTGCCACATTATCTACTTAGAAAACTCAGCCCGGTCCAGGAGTCGCTCTTAACTCAGGCTTTAATCTCTTCAAACATACCCTGTTGAGTGTATACAAATATCAGAAGTAGCTGCTTCCCCTTTAGAGAAGTCTTTAATTTCTCTCCAGGCCATTAAAAAGCAACATTAAGACATTCGAGGAAACAATGTTACATTTCAGCCATGTGACATTTAGTATTTTAGTAAAAGGATGACCCTTATATACCTAGTATCTTACTGTGTTTTTTCACACAGAATTGGCAGGATTTCCCCCCAAGATGCAAGGAAAAACAGGTAGGGGTTAGAGCACATACAATTAACACAACCAACTTCAAAACTACTTAAAGAAATTATCTTCTTCTCATAAACTTAAGAGCTTTTATTCCTCATAAATGTAATACCAGCTTTAAAATTATTTGTGAAAAATAGTTGTCTAGAAAGGATATTGCAGCCATTAGAACATTCTTCCAAATGCCACTGTGACTTGAGTGAAAATGTTCGATAAAACAGGTTAAAAGAGCCAGCCAGATGTAAGATCAGACTTTTTTTTTGGGGGGGGGTTGCTGAGATTTATATAGTCCAGACTGGCTTTGAACACTCCTTCCAGCCTCGGGTCCTTCCCACAAGCTAGGATTACAGGTGTTGGACACCACACCCTGCTACAGTCACAGATTTTTATATTTCATTTTAATAACTTGGAATTTCTTCATCTTAATAGTTGGCAATCTCTGAAGAAATAGCATGCCTACAAATGCTAAATTGCTGAGATTCCAGGAGGTCAGAACTTGACTTACTGTTTAGTCAGAATATCTGACTGAAAGGAACATTCAGACAGAAAGCACCACTAACACATGACTGACTTTGTTTGGGCATTCTTTTTGCTCAACCACTCACCTATTATATCTTGTAGCTCCAACTGTTCCCATTTCCCTGGTACATTCTACACAGCTACAATGTTGTCTCATTAGCCATCTCACACTGCTAGAGAAAACAGCAAGTTCTTCCATGGCTGACCCCCTCTGCTTTTGGAGGCAGGCTCTCTCAACATAGCCCTCAAAACTGTCTTCAAATTCACTATGTAGACCAGGCTGTCCTGAACTCACAGACAGCTACCTGCTTCTGCTTCCTGAGTGATAGGGTTAAAGGCCAATGACTCCAAGCAGGACCCCAAATTGACTTTTATCACAGACTCTCACATACTCATTTTTTTGAAAAGCAATCTTTTGAATCTAAGCACCTCACACATTATTCAAGGGAAGTCTTTTCTTTGTACTTCCATCCTAAGCCTCTGCTTCCCCAGAATCTTAATAACTCAGCATGAGCTGGAGAAAACCCTTCCACATCACAGGGTTAACAGGCCTATCACAGCTACTGATTCAGGGGACAGGTTAGTATCGTTGTCAACACCAAAGCAGGGTGCATCATCCTATCAAAACTGCAATAATCACACTCACTCCAGCTAAGGGTTTAAAAACCATTCTTTCTGATATCTGCACAAGATTTATGAGTGTTAAACTCAAAATCATCACAGCATTCTCTTCCAGCAATGTTAAGTCTTGCATCTATTGAAGAAGCGTGTCTTTAAAAACATGCTTTAGTAGAGGAGTCGGTAGAGATAAATGAAAGACTGGTTTAATAAATATTGTCAAGAAAACCAGGCATGGTGGCATAGGTCATTAATCCCAGCACTTGGGAGGCAGAGGCTGGAGGATCTCTATGAGTTCGAAGCCAGCATTGTCTAAAAAGCAGGACAGCCAGGGCTGTTATACAGAGAAACTACAGGGCTGTTACACAGAGAAACTATGTCTCGAAAAACAAAACTAACCAAACAAACAAAATACTGTCAGGAATTCAGAACTCTGTAATGTATTTTAGAACTGCTTGAACATGGTTGATGATTCAACTTCAATTAATTAGTATAAAGACTCATGACAATTTACCACTAGGTTAAGCAATGCCCTCTATGACAGCTCTATTGTTTGATGAAAAGGGCCACCTAATCTAACATGCATGATGGGATGAGGTCTCACCTATCTCACAAGTGGACAACTTTCAAGACGCCCTAGGGGCTTCCCGACTAAGTCCACAGTTGAAGTTTTCCTGGTAAAGGAAGTTCAGAATACGGTAGGAAGAGGCTGCCTGAGTGTACTTTCACAACCGCACTGCTTAACTTTCTCGGAGTTTCGTCTTCCTTTCGGGGCTGTAAGACTCTACAGGAAGCATGCACTTGAGCAGACCCGAATAGGAACCCAGAAGGTACTGACGGGCTCCGAGGGAGTTACTCTGTTTCCCACTGGGAGCGGCCTGCACCTTTTGCAGGATCGGGACTTGGGAGACGAAGCCCAGCTTCCAGGGGCCGGGAGCTCCGCATAGCTGAGGAGCAGGGCAGACTTGGGGAGTCCCGCGTGCCTGGGGAGCCGGGCAGAACTCGGGAACACGGCACACCTAAGAAGCCAGGTAGACCAGGGGAGTCCTGCCTGGTTGGAAGCCCCTGATCGCTGGGGAGGCGGAAGCCCGCGGGGCTGGGGAGCCGGGTGGAACTGGGGAGCCTCGAATAACTGGGGAAGCAGCGAAACTGGGGAGCCCCACATGGTTAGGGAACCCCACATGGTTGTGGAGTCCCGCGCTGCCCTTGAGTCTCCCTCCCGCTCACGGGGAGGCCCAGTCAACGCCGGGTCCCGGCCGTCAGCGCACCTGAGTCGTGCCCAGCCGCCAGCCGGCCGCTGAGAGCCGTCCGCGCGGATGCCCGTCCGCCCCGGCCCGGCCCGGCCCGGGCTTCGGCTCGCGGGGTCCCGGCCCACCGCCCCGGCCCCGCCCGGCCTCTCGGTCCCGTCGTACCTGGCCGGCAGCCGCGGCGGTGGCGGTGCTGCTCCTCACGTACCCGTTCCTCAGCTCCCCGTTCTTCACGCAGCCGTTCGCCCGCAGCGGGCGGCGGCAGCAGCAGCCTCCGGGTTCCGGCCGCATCGTCCCGGCAGCACCCGGCAGCAGGGCAGGCTCTGGAGGCGGCTGCGGCGCCAACTCCCGCTCCGCACCGCACCCACCTCCCCGAAACCGGAAATGGCTGCAGCGCCGCTGCCAATTCCCGGTCCGGCCGTCACGCGAGGGCGGGGCCAGCGGAGAAGATCAGGCTCGCCGAAGCCGGGCGGCCGGAGGGAGGGAACACGGGGCGAACCCTGATGGCTTCTGACCAATCCAAAGGCGGGATGGGCGGGCCTCATGCTGATTTTCACCAATCAAGAGCGAGATAAAAGGGGCTTGCAGTCGTCAAGGGGGCTTTTCTTCAGAGGCACTCGAGAGCTGGGCACTTGATTGGAGCCCTGGCCAAGTCGTAGGTGAAGCTCTGCTGCCTAATGGTCCAGACTGAGAGGGAGGCGGAGCCCAGAGAAAAGTAGCCAATTAGCGTGTGGAGAAAGAAACAGGGGTTGAGCCCATCTCCAGAGCCGGTTCCTGGTTCTCCGACACAGGTGGTGATTGCCCTCTGTGCCCTTCCTCCCGAGAGGTTCTCGGATTGAATCCAAGCCCAAGACAGGCAGCTCCCTTATTTCATTAGCAAATTCCTCTGTGGGTGTTAATAGAATAGCCTTTTTGAGTGTCTCTCACTGTTCTTCACTGTGCGCTACTCGAATGTCTCGCTTGCGCATCACTTGTTTCTATCTGGGTTTTCCCTATATAATTTCCTCGGAAGACTTTCCTTGAAAGCCAGGAGACCTCATCTATTTCCAGATCTTCGGCTAACCAGAACTGAAACTTGAGGAATTAGCTACTTTAGGAGCCAACTTCTTTTAAAATTCTTCCTGCTTCATAGACTCATTTGCAAGAAATACATTAGTAAAGCATTGGGCACCGGTCAAAATAACTAATGCAAATCAATAGCAAAAAGAAATGGAATTGATCTACATTATAGCACTACAGAGACCTTTAGTAACCCATAAAAAAAATTTAGTGTCATAATTAAGAGTATGACTCAGTCTATGTTTGAATGCTGGCTGCCTCACCTACTAGCTGAGTGACCTCTATGTATCTTCCTCTGCTCGGAGGAGATAATAATAGTTGCCATAAGAGAATCTAATGAGTTAATGCATGTGATGTATTTTGTGTAGGACCTAGCAATTACTAAGTATTCATTAAGTACTGGTTATTATTAATTGCTGAATGCATTTGTGTGAATCCCAACATCACACAAACCCTACTACTCCCCTGGAGCTTTAGAAATGAGTTGGCAACATATTTGTTTTTATTGATTTAGGAGATGACCAGTCTAACAGAAAGGAGAGAGAGTACAAAACTACTTTCCAGTCACATTCTGATCCCAAAATGAACACGAGAATCAAAAAGAACAATATGGGGCCTGGAGAGATGATTCAGTAGCTAAGATCACTTACTCCTCGTACAGAGGACCTGGATTTGGTTCCTAACACCCACATGGTGGCTCAAAACAATCTATTAACTCCAGTGTCAGAGGATCCAAAGCCTTATTCTGATTTTTGAGGGCGCCAGGCACGAACTTGGAGCACATACATACATGCAGGCAAAACACTCAGAAACATAAATCTCACTTTTAAACCTGGGGTTTTTGTTTTTCTTTTAAAGCTCTGTGTACCTTTAAGCCAAGCATGGTAATGCATAGCTATAATGCCAGCACTCATGAAGTAGAGGCAGAAGGATCAGGAGTTCAAGATAATCTGTGACTATGAAACCAGTTCCAGGACAGCCTGGGGTATATGAGTCCCTGTCTTAACATGAGGGGTGGGAGTGACTCAATCAGTGGAAGACTGCCAGGGAAGGAGTTAGGTCCAGATTCTATACATCCAGTTCAAATCCCAGTGCTGGGGACGCAGAGGCGGGAAGATTCCTAGAGTTATCTGACCAGCCAGTCTAACTGAATTGGTGAGCTCCAAGTTCAAAGACTGTCTCAAAAATAAGTTAGAGAGGCTGGGCATTGGTGGTACACATCTTTAATCCCAGTACTTGGGAGGCAGAGGCAGGCAGATCTTTGTGAATTCGAGGCCAGCCTGGTCTACAGAGCAAGTCCGACAGGCTCCAAAAACAGAGGAACCCTGTCTCAAACAAAACAAAACAAAATAAAAAAGATATGCAATTAGATAGACCTTGAAGGGTGGGTGGGACTTAACACTGGCTCTGAATGTACAGGGGAGTGTGATCTGGAGGGAAGGACCCATGGCAGGACATGTACAAAGCTGGGCGCAGCAGAGCCTGGCCTGGATCCTGGGAAGATCCTGTCCCTTCCTCCTGATGACAGGACACTGCCACCTCCTTATCTTGTTCTGCCACTTACTCACCACTTGTGGCCTTAAAAGGGTCACACACACACACACACACACACACACACACACACACACACACACACAGTCCTGATTTCCTCACTCACCATTTGAGGTTAATTCCTGTACTTCTTCCCTTGCTAGACTGTTGTGTGCATCCATGATATAATACACAAAGGATCTGATTACTCAATAGGTTATTGCTAAATCACCAAAAAAAAAAAAAAAAAAAAAAAAAAAAGGTTATCTTCGTAGGAAACACCCTGGGCTCCACAAATGCAGAAAAATAGTCCCTTCCAGATGCATAAGCTATCTCCTTCTCCTCATTTATAGAACTTATATGCAAAGTCTCATGCTAGGTACCAGAATACAATTCTCTTTGTCTTCCAAGATAGCTCAAGCCACTTCAACTGTGATGCTTTTCTTGGAGTTCATCATCCCTATAAAATTAGACACATGGCTTTGGAATTCTCTGAGAGGGAGTGATTACAAACAAGAACTCTGTTGTCAAATACAGGAGAACTGAAGATCCAGCTCCAACACTAACAAACCTTGTGACTTAGCAATTCCTACATGACTCAATTCCTATGTGTGTAAAATAGAGTATATGTGCTTCATTGAGCTGAGAAAATTAACTTCTGACCCAGGGAATTCAACATCTTCTTTTGCTTCCAAGGGCACCTGCATGTGCATGGTGTGTACACATGCTCAAACACACACACACACACCAAAATAAAAATGAATTTTAAAAAGGAATTTTATTTTGTAAATAAAATTGTAAGATTTAGGGATGGGAAGATTGCTAATACAGGAAGATTCGAGTTTACTGATACTGTGCATATAGCTCATCTGTTGTTTTTAATAGCCTTGCTTGAGATGTCTTTAGGAAAACCTTCATTATTTCTATAGGCAATTCCATCTTGACTGCCCAACAAGAAAAACAAATTAGGTTCCAGAGCAAGGGTTATTCCTGCCTCCCGCCACTCCCCCGCCCCTTTCATGTCTCTTAATTTTCCATGTTTTTCTATCATGCCTCATCATTGAGATCACAAAAGACTCACAGGAAAGAATCTTTTAGAAGTCAGCCACTTCTGTCTAAATAAAAAAAAACACAAGCATGGACAGCTCATAGCTAGGATGGAATCTGTTTTTTGTTTTTGTTGTTGTTGTTGTTTTGTTTTTGTTTTTCAAGACAGGGTTTCTCTGGCTTTGGAGGCTGTCCTGGAAGTAGCTCTGTAGACCAGGCTGGCCTCAAACTCACAGAGATCCACCTGCCTCTGCATCCTGAGGCTAGGACATTTAAGAGCTTATTTAGCACCCGCTTTCCAAGTCTTCCATGCTTCATTCATTCATCTCCCCGTTTGGCCATTCATTCAATAAATATTGCTTTGCTAGTTGTTGTATTAGGTATCACAATGATAGGAAGAAGAGCAAGACTCTGTCCTCAGTGAACTTTTAGGGTGTACATGTCTGTGCTGGTGTACATGTGTATAACTTAGGGTGTCATCCTCAGGAACATTGTCCACCTCCTTTAAGATAGGGTCTTTGTTGGTTGATTGTTTTGTTTTTTCAGGTTAGGGTTTCCCTGTATAGTCCTGGCTATCCTGGAACTCACTCTGTAGACTAACTAGGCTCTAACCCAGAGATCTGCCTGCCTCTGCCTCTGGAGTGCTGGGATTAAAGGTATGTGCCACCATGCCCAGAAAGACAGGGTCTGGGGATCACCAATATTAGGCTAGGTGGGCTGGCCATTGAACCTCATGAGTCCTCCAGTCTCTACGTTCCCAGTTTCCCTGTGCTGACATTACAAAGGCTCACTGTACCAAGCTTCTTCTTTTGAGTAATCAACTAGCTCCCAAATCATGACATAGAGACTTCTTATTAGATATGAATGCTCGACCTAACTTAGGTTCATTTTGGGCTAGCTCTTTTAACTTAACCTGTTTATCTACCTTTTGCTTCAGGGCTTTTTACCTTTCTTTCCTTCTGTTTATCTTACTTTCACTGCTTCCTCCAATGTCTCACTGGCTCTTTCTCCTTCTTTCTCCCTCTTTCTCTTCTCCATCTTCTTCTCTTGTTCATTGCTAGCCTAGATTTCTCCTCTTATTTATTCTCTCCCTGCCATCCCTGCCTATCTGTTCTCTGACTAGATATTGGCTGTTCAGCTATTTATTAGACTAAAAGGGGGCCTTAGGCAGGCAGGGTGAAACAAATGTAACACAACTTTACTTGATTAAGCAAATGCAGCATAAACAAATGTAACACATCTTTGCCCAGTTAAAATAAGATTCCATCACAGCTCACCACCATGCTGCATTATTCTGAGAGAATTCTGAAGGAACTCAGTTTGCCATACTTGCCAATAAACTGAGACATTTCCCTAGCCTTTACTTATTTAAAAAAAAAATACCGTGTTATGCAGCCCAATCAAGCCTTGAATTCACTTAGTAACCCAAGATCTTTAGAGTCAAAGATGATCTTGACTCCCAACCCTTCTGCCTCCCCAACTGCTGGGATTACAGGGGTACAACACCATGTCTGCCTTCAGACTTGATTTGCAAGGGATGGGCTGGCTGTTTCCTTTTCCATTATCCCTACTCTGATATAATACAGCCAAGGAAGGAGACTATTGTTCTCCCTGGGTTTCTGACTCCTACTCTCAGTAGCATATTTGCATCTGCCAAAGCAGGACAAGCATTATTGTGCCTCCTTCTGGTCTCCATAAGTGTACCATTGTCAGGAGGACTGGGCTATGTAAAGGAATGATTGCACATAAATATGAG